CCGATTTCTTTTTGTGCTAAATGAAACCAATAACAGATCAGTTTAAAGAAATTAGCGACTTAATGGGCCGAAACATTCCCATCCAGTTTTTAAATTTAATTTATTCACATTTCCTTCTTTATTTCCTTACATCTTACATAAACACATACCATCTAAAATTAAAATTAAAATAGCAGTGGAGTCAAGAATCCTTCTCGTTCAAATGTAAACCTACTAAGCGAAAATAAGGAAAACATATGCGTACATACGTTCATACATACAAACACATATATAAACATACAAATCGATTTTACATTTGAAATAGTTAAATAAGTGATAAAGGATTGGATTATCATACGTATAAAGACACTTAAGGATGCAGTCTGTGTTTCACCCTTTACTGTAAACACAGGAAGTCTGCATGCAGTGAAGAGCGGGAATCATCAGTACAGCCTTCTATCCACCAAGTACTGAACAGTCATGTAATTAATTTGCAAGACGGGTATAGGAAGGAACGGACAGAGACAGGGAACAGGGGTAGTGAGAGAGAACAGGAAGGGGAGAGAGAGGGAGAAAGAAGAGGAAGTTAACTGTTGATACGACAATTATTGTAAGCCATTCACGAGCCAGCATTTTTTTGCGAAGAAAATGCTCACTAGATTTCTAATTTCTGCGTCACCGAAAACGAATTTGCGCAAAAAGAATAAGAGATTTTTAGGTTATTTTGCTGGGAAAAAAGGCAACAGCGGTGGAAATGTTTTTTTTTTCTAAACTTTATTCCCAAGAAAAATTTAAAACTTACTTTTTTCTTGTCTCGGTGTTTTTTCTCTTTACGCGCTTTCGACTTCGAAAGTTTGTGATTCTTTTCCCCTGGAAAAAATCGGTGGCTAACATTAAGGCAATTTACGCAGAACATTTCAATTAAATAACACCTTTTCAGTGCTTGCTTAAAATTAGATAGCTAGAGGAGTCGTATACGATTTTTTTAAAAATAAAGTATGATATTCTCTCAAATCTGTACCAAAAATACCTTGGCCGCCCTGTCGAGTATCCTACTTCAGTGATGTTATTAAAATGCTCTCAGATACTAAGCCCAGCAATGCCAGGTCCCTCAATCTTGGGCTGTTATCTCGAGTTATCGTCTATTCGATGTATGTGTGCACCCCTTTCAAACAATTCAGGTCGTTCAAACGATCGTCCATTTTTCTGCGAATATTATTTACTAATACGCTGCGCCCTTCAGTTATTCGCAACACGAGCAACATGCCCATCGAATTTTACTTTCTCATGCAGCCACAATATGTTATCTCTTCCCTGACGGAGAATCTGATCGTTTACATGGTAACGAAGAAGCAAATATCCATCCAAGTAAAACGAAACTTACGTTCTGTTTTAACAGCAACGTACGGCTTGGATTCGTTGGACAATGTAGGCGGTAAAGCTGGCCCAAACTGCTCATTTTCATCCTCTTTCAGTGGTATATCCATAATTGTGATCACTTTCTCTTCAGTGGCTACAGTCTCAGAGGCAACTTCCCTGGCTGTCTTATCATCAGATAAGTCTTTCGATGCTGGTAGAGCAGTGTCCTGATCATTATTTCGTTCGTCATCTTCAGTAACATCACTGTCATCTGTATCAGAGTCGTCACTGCCACCAAAGATAGCTTTCAAAAATTCTTCTGATGCCTTCTCAGTAGTGTCCGCAGGAGTTTTATCATCCTGTTTTTCCTCTTTTGAAATCTGCAACATTTAGCTGAATAAGTGAAAATTTATAAAATTCATTGCCTGGTATCCTTTAAACCTCCCCGAGTTTCTTGAGATATCTTCTTTTTCAAAAAAAAAAAAAAGAAAAAAAACTCCAAACTCATTGCTTGTCAGTTTTCCTAAACTGATTGCTTTATGCAAAAACTTGAAATGTACCTCTTTTTTCCTTTCCGATTCTCTCTTTTCGATGTCTGCGCGATATTCCAGTTCTTGTGCTGTTGAACCAACAGGTAATACATTTGCGCCAAGATTCGCCAGTGTCTCAGTTTTTGTTGCTTTCTGAAAAAGAGCATAAAACAAATATGTGCCCGAGAGAGGATGTTCCAAAAAACCGATCTGAAATGTGCACTTCCGTGTGTTGATTACAGTCGTCAAATTTCAATCAAAATCCGTTTATTCACATTTGGTTTTTTGAGCTGTTCGAAAACATGAAAATTTCCAGTCCCAATATCTAAGCTACGCTATTTACATGCTTCATGTCAGCTTCCAATTATATCTGAGGAGAGAGACTTCGTATTACTTCAACAACCAGCTTGCACTGTGTACGAGTTCGTTAAACCTTTCAAAAAAAGCTATTTCTAGGAAATACATGGGAAAGTAATCATTTACAGACTGGATCTTGAAGTATGCAGCTGGCAACTTGCTTTGGCCACCGCTTCACTTCCTAGAAGACAGCCTGCTAGCGATTCTAACATTCATTTCGTTTCCTGAAGGGATTGATAGCTCCAGGGTTCTTCCGACAAGAGCAAAAAGAAGTTCTAGTGTGTGTCGAGCTTTTTTGATCATACCCCCGCCAACAATTTCACTTAATTAGATCCTAGCATACTTCATTTCATTTCACTGCTTCTCTCAAACTTTGAAACCGCCAAACTACGGCGGGGTACCTTCCTGCTAGGAATTGGTTATTACATTTCTCATTATAATTTCCGCACCAAAGAATTGACCTTTGCTCATTTCTTGATTTTAAACAATTTCAAAAACAGATTCATATATTTCTGACAGGTCGAATCAAACGGCAAATGGGAATCACCATTCCCTTCTCACAATGCCCATTAAATCAATGAAGAGCATGAAATATGAGGAACAATCAGCAGTACCTGTAGATGTGGTACTCCAAGAAGAGTGGATGATGGGTAAGGATCGGGTACATTGAAACGCTTCGCAAGTTGTTTAGCAGGATGCCATTCATGGGCTGACCGAGTCTTCTCACCAAACATCTTCATTTTCACAGCTGCTAGACGCTCATCACCTTTTAGTTCCCTCATCTGAAACTAATAACGTCATCAAAACAAAACTAAGACCTTAATTGCCAGTCGATAAGACATCTCATCCGTATCTAGAAGTAGCAAAATTCGGGAAGCGATAACGATGCTCATCACACACCAAAAACAACTCAAAACGGCTAGTCCCTCTAGATGCTTCGGTCAAAAGGGCCGTTGGGAAGTGGGGACTCATTCAAAAGATGGACGATCCTTAGGATGAAAGCGACGTAGCATTCATAAGCGGATTCAGAGCGGTCTCCTGGATGAACATAATCTCATTTTAGGAAGAGCGTTCTCCTGGGAGTAGGGGGAGGGGGAAATCCGCCAGTGATAGCACTGATCAAAGAAGCTGGAGATGTCAGCTTTACAATTCGAAAAAAAGATCACGGACTAAAGCAATTCTAAACGTCCCAGTACGCGAAAGCCCTAAAAATTGCTGCACAACCGCTGCCAAGCGTAATTCAATTCCTAAATTGGGAATAAAATGTTGAAAGTCTTGGGAATGCCTAACTTCCAAAAGAATTACATTAATTTTCATAATTGCCGCGAGAAAACTGTTCCTATAAGCACGGTCAATCGATAAATCTAGCCTCACATGCAGTTCTGACAACAAGAGGAGAGTAGCACTTACTTTGCTAGACGAGGAAGCACCTGAGCTGGAAGTGAATTTCGACTTCAAAACGTCGGCAATTGGCGCAGCAATATCGATGCGCACCAGTGGTTTCTGACGCATTCGGACCTCCGGCAAAAGCGATCGCAGCTCCGGCGGAAGGATATTTTGAAAATCGCTTAGCTCTTGCTCCCATTCCAATGTTGTCAGATCTGATGGCCGAGGAAAGCTGAGTCCTGCAAATCCAAAAGAAAAATTATCAAAACAAACCAAAAAATAAACTTAAAAAAAATCCAAAATTTAAAATTTAAAATAAAAAATATCAAGTCACATGCCGTGCACGCAACAAACAGGCCGTGGGTATTAACTAGATACAGAGAACTGAGAGTCGGAAGACCTGGCATAGACATACCAAAGTGTGTGAGTACCCTAGTAGTATCATTAACACGGAACATATACTGACTGTCCAAGTAACCATGATGTTGGCAAAACAAATCTATGACATCAAGAAGATTTTTCTCGCTGTACTACTGAAAAAACTTTTAAATAGTTGAGGAATTTCAAAAAAAAAAAATTTGTCGGAAAGAAAAAAAATCGATTTACAGACCTCGCTTCAAATAATGTACATATTGCTTGAACCGTGCTTGCTTCATAGGCTCTTCCTCAAATGCATTTTTTAACAAATCTTCACTATTCATTGAGGTACGAGAAGCAGATGCAGTCAGCCTTTTTCTGTCTTTATCGTGTATCAATTCCAGCACAGCTTTCGGATCAACCTGTAATGGTAACGAGAAAACAGATAAATATCCAAAAAAAAGATAGATTATGAAAGAAAAAACGCCAAAAACACTAATATGCTACAGATAGATGTGAAGCGCAGCTATGACGGCCGTCACTTATCATCGGCACGCGACGTTTATTGGTTGCCATCAACGTGAGCAACTTGCTCTGTCTGTCGGATTTTACTTTCTCACGTGGTCATATTGAAGTCTCGCATCGGTCATCTGATGGAGGAGGATCTGACCGCTTACACAGAATTATAGCTAAAAAATTGAGTTATAGCCAGAACAAATAAAGAAGTGGATTACCTCGCCCAATAATTTAGCTCGCTGTAGGTGATTCATTTTTTCACCGAACTGCTTGATATTGGCAGGCATCCGCGAGATGTCCGGATGTATCGGAGTATGAATGGGACGAAAATTGGTTGGCAAACGTGGAGGCTCAAAAAATTGCCTTGCTGGTTGTCGTTTCTCAGCCATAATAAAACTTGTGTCACCTGTAAAATGCTTCAAAGATGAAATAAGAGTGGGATTTCCGAGTAGAAAACTGCAACCAATAATCCGCAAAAAAACCCCAAACAAATTCGCTCTACAAAAACTAGCTAAACAAAAAACAATGAAACTACAAAATGAGAAACGAACGTCAGGATCGCCAGTAGGCTGAACAATGGGCAATGCAATACTGATAAGAGCAACTAGAAAAGTTAAAAGTTGCATCGATCTGGTGCTACACTGCGTTCTGATGGCCGTTTTAGGCATTTCAGGTAAGTTTATCAAAAAGCACTACTTGCGCTGCATGAAGCATATGCTGCTTTTCCTCCGGGCCCGATTGAGAAGTCATACTGCGAAAAGTCGTAATTCGTGTAGATGCTCTCATCATCGTCCTCGAATGCTCCAACTCCAAATGCCTAGAAATGTGGCAAAAAAATTTGACTAAACTTTAATTTGTATATAAAACATAATAAAAAATAAAGTTTCAAAAATTTATTCGTAAAAATTGAACCACAAAACTGATTGTTTAATAACCCAATTTTGATGGAAACAAAACAAATGTCAGGACCGCAAGCATCTGGTCGACAAGTGATTCAGCCACTGGTCAAAGCAATTGGAAAAATTGCTAATTGCATAGCTGGAGAACCAGATTATCAACCACAGCTGGTCTAAGTATTCTATAGAGGTATAAAAAGAGGAGGGAACATACCTGTCCTGAAATACCTTTTCCTTTGACCCGTGTTTTGAGTGCAGCCTCGATGGTGCCATATTTCTCGGACAGCACTGACGTGGATTGTATTGCTTGATAGCCCAAACCATGCAGGCCTTCATGAGATTTCAATAAATCCGGATCAAAATCGGTTGGTGCAAACTGGAAATTCGGTGCCATTTCTTCCGCTTCTTTCACAGCTTCTTCATCATAATTTCCTTTTCTTGAGCGGGCTCTGTCTTCATTTACTGAAAAAAGGAAACGCTGCAATGATCAGCAATTTGTTGCGAAACATTGAAAATGTAAAGCGTTTGAAAGAAAGTAACTTCTTTTCAGGGATGCTTGGATCAGCTGGAAATCACGGTTTGCCTCCTACCTATGCAGATGGCCATAAGCGGATCCAAGGTGGTTTCCTGGAAAG